CACCATGACCTGGGCAACTTATAAAAGAAGGTGTTTAAGTTGGGGGGCAGAGTTGTAGAGGGCTAGAGTCCACGACCATCATGACAGGGAGCCTGGCAGCAGGCAGGCAGATGTGGTACTGGAGCAGCACCTGAGAGCTTAGATCCTTCTCTGCAAGTAGGAGGAAGGGGTGGGTTTGGAACCTTAAAGCTGTCCCAATGACACACCTCCTCCAGCTAGACTACAGCTCCTGATCCTTTGCAAACAGCTCCACCAAACAGGGACCAAGGACTTCAAACATATAAGCCCATGGAGCCCTTTCTCATTCAAACCTCTTCACAATCCAGTGTGTTTGTAAACAAAAACATTTTTAAAACTTCAAAACCCATGGGGCCCTATTGGGCATCTACTGTCATTAGGTCTGTTTGTGTGACTTCTGGACACAGCTAACACACCGTGTCCTTAACTTCTGTGAATTGCCCATTCTGGTGGCTGCCACAGGGGTCCTGTAGCAGAAAGGCTTTTCTGTAGTGGAAGTTTTGATTGTTTACATTTATCTTTAATAGACTTAACTTATATTCTCCAAAGCAAACCCTCCAGATTTTAATGTTAAAAAAAAGTAAAAACTTCAGAGCGGCTCCCACATTTGAGACAAGTGCTTTCCCCATGAGCTATATCCCTAGCCATTCCATGGCTGGTTTCCATTTTTATAGAAGTGTTTGGTTTGGGATGGTGTGGCCATGAGGCATGTCGGGCCATGAAGGAGTAGGCACTGACATGACAAGTGGTCCCTTAGCAGTCATCCTGTACCAAGGACCAGGTTCTCACATTCGTTTGTCCCCTTATTGCTTTCAATGTGCTAGGGATAATTTTCAAAAGCCATTTATTTTCTCAAGGGTTGGGAAGTCACAAGTTCAAAGCCAGGATGTGGACAGGGCTAAATTCTGTGATCTCTGTGGAGCTAGTCCAGCTGTCCTTTGGTGCTGTTTCATAGGTTGGTTAGTCCATTTCTCCAGGCACATCTCTAGTGCCCCCTCTGTGAATCCCAGTGTCTTTGTGAGGACCTACCCACAGGCAAGAGCATTTTAACTTGTCTCTTTCACAGCTGTCTTGTGAGATGTTGGGGATTAGGGTTTCAGTCAGTGAACTAGGGGAGGCACACCACTTAGGCACCAACAGCTGCTTTGGGAAAGTTGCAGTCATAGAAGTCAAGCAACTGGTGTGATGGGAGATGCCATTCTGTAAATATGTTTCTCTTATTGGTTAATGAATAAAGCCCTGTTGGCCAATAGAAAAGAAAGATAGGTGGGACTAGGAGACAATGAGGATTCTGGGAGAAATAGTAGAGAGGAGTCAAGATGTAGGACGTGATAGAAGAGATCCGGACCCTCTCTCTGATAAGATAAGACCATGAGGAAACACTTAGATTGATAGAAATTAGTTAATATTTAGACAGAGCTAGCCAATAAGAAATGCTAGCAATTGGCCAACAGTTTCATAATTAATATAGTGTCTCTGTGTGTTATTTTGGGACTGATGAGACTCTGGGACCAGGCTGGTGGGAAAGTGCTTGAAACACTGGTGAAGGCATGTGCTCTCCCAGCTTCGCAAGCGAGGGACACACACAACCAAGTTCATCTGAATGGCTGGATACCTGTCATTCCCTAAGAAAGCAGGGAGATGTTATGGGAGATAGAAAAGAAGGAGGGAAGGAAATAGGGAGAGGTGAATCAGCAATTAAGAGGATTTTAGAGGACCCAAATTCAGTTCAGTTCCCAGCACCTATGCCAAGTGACTCATGACTGCCTGTGGCTCCAAGTCTAGGGAATCCAATGCTCCCTTCTGGAATCCTTGGGCACCTGCACACATACAGCATGTGCACACAGAGACACACAAACATGACTTCATTTACTTGCTTTAAGGAAAACAAACCCAGAAACTGACCAAAGCCAAGAAGCACAGAGAGCAAACTTCACGTTGTACTGGCCACTCATCCTGGGAAATGCCAGAACTAAACACCAGCAGTGTCCAGGCTGGGTCATCCTGCAGGCTCCCCTTCAGAACTCAGCTTTGAGCAAAGACTGGAGCTTTAGCTAAAGCTTGCTAAAAGGCCAGCAATTGAGCATCACCAGAAAGAGGGAGAAGGGTGTGGCTTTTAGACCCAGACAGTAGCAAATGAGGGACCCACAGGCACTGACTCCTCTCATTTGTTAGTGCCTGCTACCCTCTGCTGGCCAGATGTGGGAACCACCAAGAATCTACCCAGAAGGCTACTTTCAAAGGGCAAACACTTGGTCAGTTTAGAGAGGGTCCACCCTCCGTAAACTCCACACTGTTTTTAAATAACAGCTCTTCCAGCTTCATTTTTTTTTTTTGCATGCTATGACTGCATGGCTGTTTTTTGTTTGGGTTTTTTGTTGGTTGGTTGGTTGGTTGGTTGGTTTTGGGTTTGGTTTTTGGTTTTTCAAGACAGGTTTTCTCTGTATTGCTTTGGAGATTGTCCTGGAACTAGCTCTGTAGACCACCAGGCTGGCCTTGAACTCACAGAGATCCACCTGCCTCTGCCTCCCAAGTGCTGGGACTAAAGGCGTGCACCACCAATGCTCGGCTTGCATAGCTGTTTTAGTACTTTCTTAAGACATTTGCATCTTAGAAAGAGAAACAGAAACAAAACCTCCTTATTACTTGCTGCCTTCTCAAAATAAAAAAGTAAAAAAAGTTTCCTGCCATCAGAGAACGTCATGACTAGAAGGCAAGTCTTAGTGAGTAAAACAAAGCACTGGTTTGCGTATCACTTCATGCTTCAAAAATAAAAACAAAAAACTATAGTTAGTTCAACAAGGCAGGCTTTCAACTCTTTAAAACTGTGATTTACTGTGGATCCTACCATTTGGTTGTAGTACTTTTGAAAAAAATAAAACTGATCTTCACCAAAACAAAATCAGAAGTGGTAGACAGGACTATTATAATTCTAGCTATTTGGGAAGCCAAAGCAGGAGGGTTGTAAGTTCAAAGCTTACATGAATTACAGCATTCAAAGTCAGCCTAGCCTACTGCCATTGCTGTTTGGATGCCCACTAGAACTAGATGGAAAGACCCTGTTGCCGAAGATACAACAATCCATCTACAGGACATAGAGACTCAAGCTGGGCCTTGGCCAAAAGCTTTTCCCTTATGGCAGTTTTATAATGGGCCAGAGTGTTCTGTAGGCTGCTGGAGACAATTGTCACAAACGGTTTTCCTCAACTATAGACCCTGTGAGCTACCTTCCGGGCAAGATATACCCACTGGTGTAATAGTGGCATGACGGGGGGGGGGGGCGGTAAGCAGTAGCTTTATAGACTTGAGAACTGCTTCTTAGGATTGGATCCACATCTTTGACTGTGACTGGCGACATATGACCTAGTGGGGAAGCTTCTGCTGGTTTTTGTGAATCAGACATTATATGTCTGTCAAAATGCCTTCAAAATGTTCATGTTGATGTCTATGGATTGTTCTGATGTCAGCAGTAGCTGGAGAAGTTTCTGTTTGCAGTGGTCATCAGTGACTGCATAGACTCATAACTGCCCATCGTGCTGGGAAGCAGTGGCTACTGAATGCTCAGCCTTAAATGGGACGTCTTTGTCACCCCTTGCAAGGCTTGAGAAGTGTCATGGGATGGGGAAAAAAAACAAGAGCTGATGTTAGTGATGGAGCGTTGTGAACTGCTACTTCAGCTACAACATGACAATTGTACCCTAGATTGGGCTCATGGGTACTCCGTTATGGACAGTAAATTCTCAAAGGTCCCCTCTCCTCATGAGGATTTATAGGCAGGTAGTGGTTGTTGGGGGTCTAGAGGAGCATTTTCAGTGGTGTAACCACTAAAGGAGCCCATCCTCCTGCAACTAGTCCCTTCCCCACGTTCCTGGATGGAACCCTTACTAAAGTCATTGGTTTATGCACATTCACACTCAAAATTTCATACATGCATCAAAAATCACAAGGAACCAATCATTATGTATAATTCATATATACTAATAAAAAATAGAGCCAGCCTGGGCAACTTAGTGAGATCCAGCCTCAAAATAAAGTCAATCTAGCTCATTGGCAGGGTGCATGCTCTGCATGCCAAAGGCCTCAGGTTCAATCCTTGGCACACAGGCTTCTCCAAAGCCCCCCAAACCAGTGGTTGTGTTTGTAGACATATCGCCTTGTTGAGTGTATTTGTTATTGGAGAATGTTCAAAGGTCACAAAGGATATCCCAGAGTTAAGAAGCATTACGAAAATGACAAGAGAAGCCATTCTAAGAGCACCTGGAACCCAGACAGCATGCAGATATGTGATGCTCTGGGCCTCAGTACCCTTCAGAATGGAGAGGTGCAGAAGCCACTGAGTCCCTCCTGGTGATGTCACCAGAGCATCATCTGACATGTGCTTATTGGAGGTAAATTATGCACCTTTGGTCCCAGAACACAGTAATACCTATTCCTCCCAGCTTTCCACAGCCAGAGACCCATGCCTATCCAGCCCAGCCTGCCTGAGGTCACCATTCTGGCCCCTTATAGCTGAATGTTCCCCTTTGGGATCTCTTGGTGACCTTATTCTAACAGACTTCCTTCTTTGTGTAGTGATGGAGTCCACCGATCTGCTGGCCACTTCTGGTCTTCTCCATGGAGCACATCTTGTTCTCTCCTGTATTCTCAATACCTAGCGAGTGCTTATGTGTCTGCAAGTGAGTGAACGGACTGAGCTAAGGAAGACATCCAGACACGGATGTGAGTCCATGCAAGACCAAGAATGGAGCTTGTTCCTGAAGTGGAAGCCAAGTTCTAGCCTTGACCGTGGCAGAGAGGACTGTGACTAGAGTCGGGTGACAGGCAGAGCCCCAGCTGCACCCTTCTCTTGGATTTGCACTAAACCCTCACGGTGACTCTATACAGTTGAGAGAACATCAGAACAGCTCATGAGCGGGGATTGCTGGCCACTGCTTGGAGCTGAAGGACAGAGAGTAGTGGGGAAAGCCCAGGCACTGGGTAGGCTGTCTGTCAGTATGTGGGTCCTGGTCCAGCCAGCCTGAGTAGTCTCCAATGGCAGGCTAGTATCTGGCCTGTCCAGAGCCCATCTCCATTCCCCTTGGCAGACAGTAAGAATCTGAGCAAGGAACATCAGTCACTTGGGGAAGCTACAGGACAGCTGTCCCCAGGAGAGGTAGGGAAGGTGAAATGCTCACATGGCCTGGGGCAGGAGCATTTGCCTTTGATGAGGGAGCTGCTGGCCTGCTTTGGTGGCTTCTCTGTTAGCATAGGGTCCTGGCAGCTGGCAGAGGAACCACCCTGAGAAGGAGGTCAGTAGACAGGAATGGAGCAAGGGCTCCCTGGGCCACCTCAAGGCAGTGTGACCTGTGGGTTCTTTAGGAAGAAGGCCACTTTCTGGGCTACGGCATCCAGCTCATTTGGGTTGGCTGACTGAAGGAGGTTGCTCTTTGGAACAAAATAATGCTTCAGGAAGTGCTGGCTCACACATCTGTGCAGCTTCCTGACCAGGCGCAAGAGAGCCTGATGGAAGACCTGCCAATCCTTGAGGTGCGGGTATTTCTCACAAGTCCAGAAGAGCACGGTCTGTGGATGAAAGACGGTGGGAACAAAATGAGTTTTCATGGCTCTGGGAGGAGGAGCAAGGCACCCTGGGAAAACTGGATTCATTAGGAACTCATGATCCATTGCCTCACCCGGGCCTGGGGCTTGCCTAGCTGACTCACACCCCCAGTTATTCTCTCTTCCTCTGCCACCTTGACCATCAACACCATCAACACTCCCGGTGAGTCATACCCTGCTCCAAGTAGGGGCCTTCTGCCTCCTAGCACACAGGGAACAGGGAAGCTCTCATCTCCTGGACCAGAGAGATCTGCCAACATGGCAGTCCCCTCATTTCCTCTCTGCATCCACCCCTCTCTCACAGGCCTCTGCTTCTACCTCCCTATAGGATCGCTGAAGGTGGATGGGCTCTCCCTTGGCAGCCACCCCTTTTCCCCCAAGCCCAGGCACCCTGCTAAATTCCTCTCCTCTCACTCATTCCCTGCCTCCATCCACTCCAGTGAGCCTTCTGCCATTAATTCTGAATGCTGCTCTCCTAGGCTCAAGATCTCCAAGCATCAAATGGCAGGGCCAGCCTTTTTCAGCCTCTCATCTCCTCACCTTTCCATGGATCACACAGTTGGCCACACCCTGCCTCTCTAACTATTGCTCTTCTGGCCTCTAGACAACTGCTCCTCCAAGCTTTCTCCTCAATCCCAGCTACTCCTCTGTTCTACACCCAGCAGTGTCTGCTTTGCCTTGCAGATTCGAAGGACACCCCCGCCCCCTCCCGCCCCTCCCACCCCGCTTCTGCTCTTGCCCCTCCCCTGCCTGGTGCTCAGTGCACAGCTTCCTTCACAGGACTCACACAGCACCTTCTCCAGCCCAGACAATGCTACTGACCTGCTTAGTGGGGAGTATTGGAAAGTTAACCTCCGTTCCAACATGCCCAGACTGAACTCCTGGCCTTTCCCACAAACCTGCTCTGCCTCTAGACCTGCTTAGCCGGCTAGCTGTGCCAGATACAACCTGGGGCAGCATTCGCTCTGTCGCTCACAACCCAACTGTCTAACCTGCCTGTGCCTATTCCGACTACCAGCCACTCCGTAGGGTTGGGATTTTTGTTTTCTTTGTTTTGTTTGTTTGCTTTTAAAGTATAAATCTTCATTATTATTTTTTAAATCTAAGTAACAGTTTCTCTCACTCTTGGTTAGCTAAGATACAAAACAGAGTCTCACTATGTAGCCCTGGCTGGCCTCATAGCCACAGATATCCTCCTGTATTTGCCTCATGAGTGCTGGGCTTCAAGATGAATGCTACCACACCTGGCTAAGGATATAATTCTTAACATTTCTGTGCGGTTTGGTCCCTGCCTTGTTTGCCAGCCTTTTGACCTACAGACACAGGTGTCAAGAACAGTACGGAACTACCTCAGGTACCAACAATGGATGGCCAGGGTACATGGGGCATAAATACTCAATGGAGACCGTTCATCCAGAAAGAATAAAACCCTGTCTTCTACAGTAAAATGGCTGGAAGCAAAATGGAAGGACATGTGTTAAGTAAAATGAGCCAGGCACAGAAGACAGACTCTGCATGTTCCTTCTCACTCATGGTAACTAAAAGATGAAGTTGATCTGAACATGGTGTGTGACGACTGGGAATTGGGAAAGGGGTGGGGTAAAGCGGGGTAGGGCAAAGGGAGGTAGGTTGGACATGATTGGTCCACCGTCTACACATATATAAAAATGTCACACCAAACCTAATTAGTATATGCAATTACCCACAGCAATCAAAAATAAGATTATCAAATTTGAAGGAATGTATATTTGAAGTCCTGGATGAATGAAGAACACTTGCTGCTCATTCAGACGTCTTGAGTTCAATTCCCAGTACCCTTTTAGGCAGCTCACAATGGCCTGTAACTCCAGCTCAAGAGGATCTTATGCCCTCTTCTGGCCTTCTCAGGTACCTGCACATACATGGCATATACTCACATAGACACACACATACACACACACACAGAAATAAAAAATAATAATACCCTTTGAGATGGTAAAAAGTGGATAATCTCTCCAACTAAAGTGGACCTAGGAAAACTGGGGGAGGGGGTAGAGAGGAAGGAGGGAGGTAGGTAGAGAAGGGAAGAAGGAACACAGAGAGAGAGAGAGAGAGAGAGAGAGAGAGAGAGAGAGAGAGAATGAACAGAGAGAGAGAGAGAGAGAGAGAGAGAGAGAGAGAGAGAATGAAACTGACCACATATCTCACCAGATACAAAATCACTTCAAAATGGATCATGGAGTTAAAATGTAAGGCATGAAATTATGCAACTAGAGAAAGCAGAGACAAGGCTTCATGTTGTTATCAATAACAGGCGGATTTTTCAGAGAAGACCTAAGAGCACAGGCAACACAAGGGGAAAATATATGCGTGTGAACACATTGAACTCAGAGGCATCTGTCTATACCGCAGATTGGTCGCCAGGGTGAGGTAGAGTATGAGGGGTTGCTCGCAAGCTGTATTCCTAATGGTGTTAATATTCAGAATACAAACAGAACTCAACAGCAAAAGAACAAGAACCACCATGAAAAATGGATAAATGGGAGAGAATGCCATTTCTCCAAAGAAACCGCACAGACAACAAGTATATAAGTCACAGTCTTCAGGGAAATGCTGGGCAAGACCACAGTGAGTATATAAGTCACAGTCTTCAGGGAAATGCTGGGCAAGACCACAGTGAGTATATAAGTCACAGTCTTCAGGGAAATGCTGGGCAAGACCACAGTGAGTATATAAGTCACAGTCTTCAGGGAAATGCTGGGCAAGACCACAGTGAGACACCACACCCAGGCTGTTGTTAAGAAGGCAAAAATAAGCCAGTTGTTGGTGGCCATGCCTTTAATCCCAGCACTCGGGAGGCAGAAGCAGGTGGATCTCTGAGCTGGAGGCCAGCAGGGTCTACAAGGGTGAGTTCCAGGACAACTAGGGCTACACAGAGAAACCCTGTCTCAAAAAAAAAAAAAAAAAAAAAAAAAAAAAAAAAAAAAAAGACAAAAATGGACCAAAATAAGAAGACAGTAAGGATGGGGGCACTCATAAATTAGTAAAGCTTTATGGAAAGTAGATGGGAGGTTCCTACAAAATTTAAAATTTGGGTATGCACACCAAGGGAATGAAATTAGAATATTAAAGAGATAAGACACTCTGGTTATTGCAGTATTATTCACAATAGCCAAGAAAAAAGTGATCAACCTAGGTGTCCATCAAGAAAAGAGGAGAGAAAATGTGGTATGCCTACACGGTGAACTGGGATCCTGCCATGGGCAATGATGTGGGGGAGCTTATGCTGAGTGAGAGAAGGAAGAGGGTGGAAGACAAACACTTCGGGCTCCCAGTCACATGTGCCCTGATACGGTGGGGTCCACAGAAGCAGGAGTCAGGAAGGGAAGGGGGAGGGGCAGAGGAAGCTTGTGAGGTAATACAGAAAACCACTGCAGGGACGCGGTTAAGCACCAGTCAGTACAGCAGGGTGCAACTGACAGCGATTCTTTCTGTTTTGAAATAACTAAAGCAGCTCAAAGGCTCCCAACACGAAGATGAAGATGGGATAAACATTTGAGGGGACATGTCGTCACCCTGGCTTTACGTGGCAAATGCTCTGTGTGTCTCAAATCATTATTCTGCACCTCACACATGTATGCAATACAAGGTGTTAATGTTGCATTAAAAAAAAAGGGAGGAGAGAGTGGGGGAGGGGAGGGAAGAAAGCAGAGTCACTGTCACCCCTGGCAGGTGTATGACATACAGCTGGGGTTTTTTATGTCGCCCTAAGCAGAAATGCATGCTGTGTGGGTTTCATGCTGTGGGGTTGAAAACAGTTCCCACGGCCCCATCCTGATCCCATCACACATGGGGACCCACCTAGAGACGGTTGCCCTGACTCCTCTGGCCACACCCCACACTCACCTGCAGGTGGTGGGTGGTGATGACTGGCCTCTTCCCTGGACACCACACATCCTCCTTCAGCTGCCTCAGGACCTGAAAGCACCGCCTGCGGCAGCCCCCATCCTCATCCAACTGCTCAAAAAGCACCTTTTCCGCCTGGGGGAAACTCAGCTGCCAGTGATAGCTGGACCGGGCCACCAAGCTGAACCCAAATGACTGAAAAAGAAGAAAGGAATGGAAAAATGAGAAACACGATGCTGGCTAAAGTAGAGAGCAGTCCACATAGAGACTGCAGCACATGGTATGTCTAGTTGATGGAATATTATTCAGCCAACGAAAAGGGTCAAATCCAGCCATTCACAGGAATATGAATGGAATTAGAGTATCGTGTGTAAAGAGCTGCAAGGCAGAAAAAGCCAAACGCGTACTGAATATTCTCACTCGCATGCGGATGGCAGAACGTGGAAGCCTGAAGGGCAGTGTGGTAAGACATAAGCATCTTGAGTACAGGCAGAGAGCAGGGGTGGCTCAGGGCTCAGCTGTCGGAGCCCCGGAGGACCTAGGCTTCACCTAGGTCCCTGGGAACTGCCCCACACTCATTCCGCAGGCCCAGGGGTTCTGATAAGAAAGCTGCATTTCTGACAAGCTTGTAGGTGATGCTGCCACTGGGGGCATGAGGGGCATGCACATTGGGACAGCGGCTCTAAGGAACCCTGTTTCCCCAGTAAGCTGTTACATGGTCAGTAGTGAGACTAGCAAAACTGTTAGCACTGTACAGAATGAGCCCCCACCTGATCACCCATACCTTGATGCACTCCACTCTCTCTGCGGAAGGCCACCGCTTCAAGCACCTAGGCCACTGGGCTTTCTCGGACCAGGCCGTGGGGATCTCCACAGTGGGGGCCAGCTCCAGTTCCACCGGGCCAGTGGACGTTTCTATGGCAACCCAAACAGCAGCTCGGTTTGCTAGCACAGTGACCTTATCTAATGGGAAACAACCAGAGAGACATTTGGTAAGAGAACGCCTTTGCTTCCCATAGCATCAGGGTGAGGGCAGGAATCATCGAGCAGATGCTCTGGGCAACTGTCAGTGAACTGTCACACAGTGTCAGCTCTATTGACACCAGACAGGACAATCAGCCACTGTTACAGCCTTGCCAGGAAAGCTCATGGTCAGTGGGTCTTTCTTTTTTCTCTCCACTCCTCCAAAGCTTTTCAGCACACGTGTTCTCTCTCTCTCTCTCTCTCTCTCTCTCTCTCTCTCTCTCTCTCTGTCCCTCTCTCTCTCTCACTCTGTGTGTGTGTGTGTGTGTGTGTGTGTGTGTGTGTATGTGTGTGTGTGTGTTGCAGGAGATACACATCACAATACCTCTGGGCTATAATCCCAGGCTAGAGGGTTTCCATTTTAAAAGATAGGTTCAAAGGAAGGGAAGACACGCCAAAGGGGGAAAGAACGCCGTTGGCTGTTGTGAGATGGAACTAACACTTCTTTGTCCGGCTTTGTTCCTCCTGAGCACCTTCACTCTGGTTTGGGAGGGAAGGCGGGCAAGAATAAGGACAGTAAGGACAGAGCATTTCACTCTGGTGTCAGAATTTTGCCCAAGGGTGGCCCTGACCTCACTCTCACTCAGGTCCCTTCCAGGGGAGTCCTACTAACCTGTTTTTCATCTGAATCTGTCTCGTGAATGGCGCTTGCTTCTACCATCCATATTGGGAGCCAGATTCACCCAGTTATCATCCTAAATTCATCTGATCATGAAACCCCGCCCCCCCCCCAGAGCATGTTACAGCTGAGCTGGAAATGGTCAGGTAAGAATGAGAGATTTCCCATTACTTCATTTTCCATGCAGGAAATAAGTGTGTGTGGTGAGGTTTCTGGTTCACAAGCCAGCCTGCCCTCGTTGACAAAGGGCACCTCTTTTAAAAGCAACATATACACTTGTATGTATGTATTTGTGCACCTGTGTGATTTCATGTTCATCCCATGAATGCAGCAGCCTGCAGGGACACGAAGAGAGCAGCAGAGCCCCTGGAACTGGAGTAACAGACAGGATGCTGGGAACTGAACCCAGGTCCTCTACAAGATCAGCAAGTGTCCCTAGCCACTGAGCAACCCCTCCAGATAAGGAGGATCTGTCATTTCACTTGTCCTTTCTTAGGAGAAAATGGGAGCTTTCCACTGTGTTTGGCTGCCCAGAGGAATGCATGCTATTCTGAGCTAGAAAGAACAGCTGACGGCTAACTATATTGTACCAGAGCGGCCTTGACAAGGCTAGAATGCGGAGTATTGCTTCAGTTTTCTTTAATGAAACCTCCTCCCAGGTCTGGCCCAGCTTGACTCACCCACACCTCCTTTCCCTAGCAGACCATCTCCAAGTGTTAGGAGTGATTGCACTTGAAGCTCATCTGACTGGCCCACACCTGCTTCTGCAGAAGCTGGTGGCTCTGGTGTGTGACCCTCAGTGACTTAATCTGTCTCAGAAAAGATTTTATTTTTGACAAGGTCTCCTATACCCCAGGCTGGCCTTGAACTTTCCAACCAGCAGAAGATGACCTTGAATTTCTGATCCTCCCATCTCTACCTGGCAGAGTACAGGGATTAGAGGTGTGCACCAACATGTCTGATATATGCAGTGCTGAGGATCAGATCCAGGGTGTTATACATGCCAGACAAATATTCTACCAACTAATCTGCATGCTACCCCAGCCTCAAATGCTCACAAGAATTGAATATCCACACAAGTACTTCCTATAAAGTAAACATCTTTGAGCTATGACCAGGATGGAGACTTAAGGAGCTGTTCTGTCCAGACAAGCAAACATTTACAAATGTATCACTCGACACTGAGTTCTGCAGTCTGTGTGATTTTCTTAACACCTGTGTGCCTGTGTATGCCTCACTCAGCCAAGGCTGTGCAGTGTGCTGGACAAAGGTCCCATCATTTACTGGGCCATTTTTCTTGCACATCATTTAGATTTCTTTCCCTCTAGTTGGTTATTACTATTTTCAAACCCAGAACAGAGGATATTCTTGGCCGTATTTCTTTGTGTGTTTGCAAAAGTTTCTTTGTCAAATTGCCAAGTAAGCACATCATAAAAAATAGTGGAAAAATGGCCCCTTTAAAAATGAAACACTGAGTTTTGCTCCCAAGAACAACATGACCCACCCTCTACACCTGGCAGGAGCATATTTCTCACGTGTCATATAGCTGCTAATCTGCTAGGCCTTTTAACACGTTTTTATTGTCATTGGGATTCTTTGTCATTGTGGTTTTAGACTTACTTTAATTATAAGGTGTGTGTGACTATATGTCACACAGGCATGCAGGTACCCAGGGAGGTCAGCAGTAGGTGTCAGATTCCCCTGGAGCTGGAGTTACAAGGGCTTGTGAGTTTCCTGAGGTGGATTCTAGGAAACGAACTCAGGTCCTTTGCAAGCACAGCCATCGCTCTTAACCACTGTGCACTTCCCTGGTCCCGACTGTTGACTGTTTCATTTGACAAGACAGGCTTTCACTCTGTAACCCAGGCTCTCCTCAAAAATGAAGTAATCCTCCTGCCTCTGCTTTTTCAGTGCTGGAATTACAAGTATGCAGGAGCTACCATGCGTGGCAATCTGCTAGAATTTTTAACATTTTAAAAATCTACATTTTCCTTTTCAAAATCTTGTATATTCTTCCCCCCAAGATTTCTGTTTCTGTTGTTGGTCTTTCTTTTCTGTTTTGCTTTGTGTATCATTATTTCTGTTGAACAGCTCATCTTTTTTTCCTTCCTGGTTTATAACCACTTCTGTAATTAAGAGATTTAGTCGGTTTTTCCACATGTGCACATGTGTGCATTTATGCATGTACATATGTCACCCTGTACTGTGGCTTCTTGTGTATGCAGTTATGGAGGTCAGCGGGTCTGAACACTGTGGGGCTTCTGCTGTAGTGGGTTGGTGCTTTTCAAGCATGTGGTCTCTACATCCTGTGTTCAACCAGATCTCCATGCTGCACAGAAATGTGCTGATAATCAAGGTCTTGGACAGGGGTGTGGGAGACAGATTTGCAGTTGAGGTTTGGGAAGGGCACAAAACCCACAGCCTGAGGTGTGTGTGTCAGGCGTGTAATTTCTAAGTCTCAGAAGGGTGTCCTGAGGATGAACCCCTGCCGCAATGCAAAAGGTGACTGGGTACCACGCCCCTGTGCCTTCCTTTGATCAGCTCACCTGAGAGGTGGCAGGTTCTCACTGCACTTTCTACCAGCGCCCGGAACACCTGGAGGACTTTGGCAGGCACGATGTCCCCCTCTATGTTCACATCTGCTTGGTGCCACTGCCACAGGGTCTTCATGAACTGCTCAGTCTCCAGCCACTGCTGCAAGCCCTCAGGGTCCCGCAAAGGGCAGGTGAGCTTGGTACCCTGCAGGTTGTAGTACCGCCAGCGCTGTGTCCTGGCCCCCTTGTATCCCGCAAGGCCTTTCAGTGGGATGGTGATGTGGAACAGGCTGGGGGCCAAAACCTGGGGTTAGAAGAGGAGAGAGAGAAGCTTAGTTCACACACGGGGAGGTGACAGGTAGAGGGGTGCTGATCTGTCCAGCCAGTGACCACTCAACCCTCAGCAATGTGATGAGGTGTGCAGAAAGGAGACCAAGAGGTTGCTGAGAAGTCAATTTTTTTGATTTGCCACTAACCCATTTGAGGCTGTGGCAGACAGAGTGACTCAAGAGTTCTGGGTTTTGTGAGGCCGCAAGTTAAGTATGAAGAAAACCCAGAGCCCTGAATGAACTTGAAGTCTAGGGGAGAAGAAAGGGAAGGGAATATATTCACTCACACACACACACACACACACACACACACACACACACACACACCGGTCTCTGGATGTACCTCTTCCTTCCCTTTGACAGCACTTCCCCAGTAAGCAACCCAAGGCTCAGGGGGGCTTGCAGATCACCCCAGGAACAGTGCCATCAAGCGGAAGAATGGAAATTTTCATTGGAATTGGTAGCTTCTTCTCTACCCTGGACTCATTCTGCATCAAGAGTGGCCGTCCTGGGACAGCTGAGTGCTATGATGTGCAGGAGGAGGTGACAGAACTTTGAAGTGCCACCCTTTCTGCTTGCCTGTCCCAATGACCCAGGGTCAGTGTGAATGACTAACCCTTGCAGAATCAAAGGTGAAATGAAAGCCTGTCTGTCTGGACAATGTGAGCCATTGAGTTGATTCTGGCTTTAATAGAAAAATGGACCTGAATCCACCCACATCCACTCTCTGGGAACCAGTTAAGCAGTGGCCAGGAAGAAAGCATACACAGCAGACTTACAATGCAAAGGACACAATAAACCCATTGGCAATGCAAATCTGCCAGAGGGACCCTGAACTCTGGCTGTGCTGAAGCAACTTACTGCACCCTCTTTGTTCATTCAGCCACATCTTCTCTGGAGAAAGTTATGGGAAGTCCAACCATAGTGAACTTTTGTCCCTGGGGTGGGCAGTGATCGATTCAGCTGACTCTGCCTCACTTTCAGAGAACATTTGGTGGTTGAGATGATGGTACCATATGATGATTAGTGTCTGGAGGTTGGATTAAATAGTGGGGGACAGACACCTGAACTACAAGTGAATCCACTTGCACATGAGTTCAAGGGTGCAATGGTGGAGCTGGGCAGATAGCTCTGATCATATGGCTCTGGTTATACACACACAAGACCCTGAGTTCTGATCACTAGCACCCACAAAACTCATGCCAGTAATCACAGCACAGCGGAGGCAGAGGCAGGAGGATCCCCAGGACTTGTTGACTATCCAGTATTATGGAATCCATGAGCTCTAGGTCAGGGAGAGGCCCTGTCTCAAAACATAAGGTGGGAGCCACTGAGGAAGAAGCCAATGTTGACTTCCGGCTTCCGTTAGCACAGCCACACTCCTGAAAGCCTGCATCCCCCAACAGCATCAAGTAAAACCTAAAACCACAAATGGTGGTCAATAAATACTTACCAAGTTTAGTTCAAAATAAAAACTAAAGCCATTTTATGTGTTCTTCCCCCTCTTCCCGCTCCCTCCCCCCTTCCTCCCTCCCTCTCCGCATTCCTTCCCTCTCTCTTCTTCCCTCCCTCTCTCCCTCCATCCCTTCCTCCCTCTTTCTTTCCTTCCTTCACAGGGTTTCCTGTATCCCAGACTGGTCTCAGACTTGATGTGGCTCTGAGGTTTGCATAAAAGAATTCCCCCTTAGGCTCATGTATTTACGCCTGGTTCCAGTTGGTGGCGCTGTTCGGGGAGGTAGTGTGGAGGGTAGTGTGGAGGAAGGATGCCAATGGGAGCCGACTCCACCTCCAGTTCACTGATTCATGTTTGTGGTTGAAGATGATCCCTGCTCCTGCTGCGCCACACACACAGCTTGCTGCCACATTCCCGCCATGATAATAAGCTCAAAAGAATTATTATTTCCATGGTTTGCTTTGGTTACAGTATTTTATCATAGCAACAGTAAACTAAAACAGCAAACTAACACAGAAACCAAAGGTGACCATGCTCATGTCATCCTCCTGCCTCCACTTCCCAAGTGCCAAGATCACAGCTGTGCTGGGGATCAAACCCAGGGCTTGGTGCATGCAAGGCAAGCACTTTACCAATTGAGCCACATCTCCAACCCTATTTTAAAGCTTAATATACAGAACAACACAGGACATATTTTGAGCTATCACTCTAGCTGGGACCATAGCAGGGAATTTTTTTTGGTTCAATGATGTGGTGTTTCTCTCTCTAGTCCTGGGGCTGTATCTGCCTTGTTGAGGCTGGTCGGGAGAGGAAGAGGTGGGCAAGCGTTCTAAAATGACAGGATCAAAGTAAGTTTTACGATCTTTATCCTAGAATAAATTTCTCTGCCTCAAAACCCACAAGTCTTTGAACCTTGTGAGTGGACCCTGTATCCACCAGCCTGGGATGCGCTGGGCTGGTTCTGAGAGCCCATGCTCATTCTTCATAGTCTGAATGTGCACACACACACTAGATACTGGGAATGAAGTGACCAGTACTCATGGTCCCTAAAATCAAGGCTCTTTAAGACTGGTAGGAAAAGAGACCATGTGAAACTAATGCAAAGTGAAGGAGGTTTGTCTACAGGAAAACAGAAAGGTGAGGGTTAAGTTCCCGTTTCAGTGGAGATGAGTGTGCAGTCCTGCCTACAGGCTCACAGGGGGTCTGAGGGAGATCACTGCTGACTACCACCATGCATTGGCCCTGGTGGTTATACTCAGTGGGATCCCTCAGCAGAGAGGGGCTACACTGCACTCCTACGGTCCCTCTTGCTTCCCCAGGCCTGTACCCCAGAGACTGCCGCCTGGAAGAGCTGCTGTACTATGGGCCTGTTCTATGTTCTCAGTGGAACAAACACCTCTCACACATGGAGTTCCTCCCATCCAAGGGGTTGGATGCTCCATGGAGCACTCCAGAGAGACCTGCTTACCTTAATGCTGTCATTGTGCGTGTCAGAGGCAGGCACGGCTTGGAATCGACTGTCCTGGAGGCTGATCTCTGTGGTCAAATGGTGAATGACTTTCTGCACCTCCTCCACTCTCTGAGAAATCTGCTGGCGCCTCAGGTCCACCTGGGTGTGAGGGGATCAGCAAATCAGGGCCTGAGGCGCCTGCACAGGTGACAAGGCACAGTGGAGGCTGACCCAAGTTCAAGGCAAAAATCTTGCTTCCCAGGACTCCAAGGAAGATGAGCTGCTTAGGTCTGACTGAACAAATTGACACTTGCTTTCTCTGAGAAAGGTAGAGTTGCCCAGTTTTTATCTAGGACTTAACCTGATCAGAGGCTGGGGACATAACAGCAATCAAAGCAACAGCAAGGTGGAGGGCACTGTGACAGACACCTGTAATCCCAGCGTGCTGGAGGTAAAGGCAGGAGGATCTGAAGTTCAGGACCAGCCCTAGCTCTACAGTGAGTTCAAGGCCAGCATGGGCCACACAAGTCCCTATCTCAAAAAATGTATCAACAGATCAGACAGATATACAGTCCCTCTGGTTGAAAACACCTGGCTGTGCATGCAGACTGTAATGCCATACATACCAGTTTTGAAAAGTGCCATAAGGGATACTAGGTTAGGATAAGGCCAGTGGATAAGGTGTGGCTATTTCAGATAGGAAAGTCAGAGAAGGTGACGTTTGAGTTAAGTCACAGAGAGAGCTCTGAAAAGCACATTCCAAAACTACTCAAAACAGCCAGATAAGACAATCCCAAGTCAAAGCCATTCAAACGATGCTAAGTCAACCTTAACTCCAGGCACCTGAAGACTCCTACATAATCATTCTGTACAGAGACAGAATGCAAGGCTCAGAACACACCTATCTGCACAGGTTTCATCGCCCATCAGCTCAGTGATAAGTATTTGTTTAGCATTCATTGTATGCAGAGTACAGCTTCATGCTGGGTCACAGGAACAAAGCAGATAGACATTGACTCTGCACTTACAGCACTGGGAAAACCATATGAAAGAAAGAGAACACACACTTTGGGACTCCAATGCAGGAAGTGTGGGGTGCTGCTGGATACAGTAGAGAAGGCATCCCTATCTGCATGCAGAGATGTCTTTGATATGTACAATTCCATATACCAAGTACTGCTTTGGAAAACAGCCTTGTCCTATCCAAATGCCCAACACTATACTGAGTAGCAAGAAACAAAAATGAGGCCCCTAATGCTACGGACCCGAGAATCTCATTGAAAACATCAAATATACAAAGCAGTCTTTTTGAAGCCCATGTATCCTGCTTGACCGTGAATATAGCAGTGGTATCTGAAGTGTAACAGTTTGCTTAGCCACTCCTTCATTTCTATCCCTGTAATGCTCAACCTAGTATATTCGCCATGGTTAAGCCATGGGTCACGGGGCTGAGGGACCCTCTTTGAATGGCTGTGTGAAAGGAAGAAGGTGATCTCAGAAAAGCAGGAAGTTCAAGATGCCAAAAATAAAGAGCAGTGCTTTTGGAAACCTTTGGTTAAAGGTGCCCACAGATAGGACTTCCGCTGTGTTTGAGTCAACTCCATTTGGCCCGTTACTGAATGTCTACTTCTTGCTGGACTGTGTACTTCATGGCCAAAGATTTACAGACAGATGGACAAAATAAGATGGGTTAAAATTGTCACAGTTCAGTGCTTGGGAAAGACATACATTGGATGCTGCGGATGCCTAGCAAAAGGACAACTGTCTAAACTGGAGGGCAAGGGTCCTTCCTGGAGGCAGAAGGCCAGGCTAGAGGGAGTCAGCCAGGAGCTAGGGATGTGGCTCCGGCAGAGTGGATGCTTGCTTAACATGCATGAAGAAGCCCTGGCTTCCACCTCCACCAGTACAGAAACTGAGCACGTTGTGCATGCCAAAGTCTTGGTGCCTCAGAGGGAGATGCAGGAAGATCATTTGTGGTTTCTCAGCAAGTCCTGGGACACGTGGGACCTTGTCTCAATGTGTGTATGTGAGGTGGCAGGTCCTGAAAACAAAGGTTGAGGCCAGGGCCCCCCCAAGTGTCTGCAGAGTTTCCCAGCCAGAGCAGGGGAGTAGATGGGGCAGAATCGTGAGGACAAAAGGTCCCCACTTCTCAAGAAGCTTGACCATGGAAGCAAACAGATTAGGCGAAACCAGCAGGGCCGGCAGCAGGCTCTCTGAGACTGACACACGGGCTTAGGCGTGTTTAAACATGGAGGGAAGTGTCAGTCAGTGCTGGACCATGGGGCTCGTGCACTGAGGGGGATTTCCCAGAAGGAAAGTGTCATGCAAACCCTCAAGAACCCAGCACCACATTGCCTCAGAGGGAAAGAAGAGCAGGAGGGAGAGGGGGAAGGGAGGGGGCAGTGGGAATTGGAGAGATTTCCTGCTTGGAGTCTATTCTCTACACAGGGTAGGAGATAAGGCAATATGCAACATAAAGCCTGAGAGGTGGCAGGTGCCAGACTCCAGGTAACAGGCTAGACCAGCTTCCTAAGGGATGAGGGATGAGGGATGAGGGATGGCTTGGGTACTTGTGTAAAGATGGGAGGATGGAGTTGTAGCTATGGTGAGGCCCATGGGGCTGTGGGGTATGAGTGGGTTCAGTTGTGAGAGAGTCTGAAGCACCACTTAGCCTCCCAGGTCAGGCCGAGGTGTTTGGTCTGGGATGTGCTAGGCAAGAGACAGAGGGGTGGAAGCTAGGTGGGGTTTTGTCATTGAGTTGGATTTTCCAGCCTAGGATAGCAGGCATATAGCCAGCCTGGTAGACTACAGGGCATTGAACGGAGATGAATCTGCTAAATGAATGTAGTGAGGGAAATTATGTAGCATCATTACAAGTACTGCATTAAAGAAGCCACGCAGGATGTTCTGACTAGGTTGGACACTGTCGTCAGAGTGGCTAGGAGGAGGTGCCATTGAGTAGCTAAGTTTTCAGAAGGCATGGAGGGTTGGGGCTAGTCATCCCAAACTCCTCAAATATTTACGTTTATGGATATGATTCCACAGACATTGAATGTGAAAACCCCAATGGACACATAGGCTCACTCACATTAATAAGCTGCGTCCTAATTTGCTTTCTATTGCTATGATAAAATACGGGTGAAAAACTTGGAGGCGTATACATTTCAATCATGTTCACACACCAGGGAAGACATGACAGGAACCTGCAAGCAGGAACTCAAGCAGAGGCCAAGGAGTAATGCTGCTTACTGCCTTGTTCTCCTCTGCTTGCTCAGCTTTCTTTCTTATACAACCCCAGCCGCTGTGGGCTGCACCCTCCCACAGCAATCACCAATCAAGACTTGCCTACAAGCCAATCTGATGGAGGCATTTTCTCAATCGATGTCCCCTCTTCAAAATGACTCTAACTTGCCAGGCATTGTGGCACATGCCTTTAATCCCAGCACTTAGGAGGCAGAGGCAGGAAGATCTCTGAATTCGAGGCCAGCCTGGTGTACAGAGTGAGTTCCAGAGCAGCCAGGGCTATGCAGAGACATCTTGTCTGGAAAAATCAAACAATAGCAACAAGACTCAAACTTCTGTCAAGTTGACAAAAACTAACCCGGACACCAAGATCCATTAGTATTGGCACTGGGGTGCGGTGTAGGGAACAGCCTTCTTGAGAACAAAAATTCTTCATTGCGAGTGAACTTGACCACAGGCTGGACAGTGACTGAGCAGAACAAGACTGTGCACACCCTGGAAGGTACCCATAATCACTCTCATTATCCGGGTGCTTAGCTCATCGTCCTTGTGTGATCTGATCTGCAGACATGGCTGCCTGGAAGCTAAGACTACAAAGTCTTTTCTCTGTCACTTCTTACTCTTGGGTGCCTTAAACTCAGCATCTTAGAATTATTCCTGCTTCAGAAATTATCTTATCTGGTGTTACTGAACAGAATAGCAGAGCAGCAGGTGGCTCTCTTCTGTCACACTGGCAATTAGAAGTAGACCACATGCACGGGGGTTTCCCGTGTTTTCCAGCATTCCCTGCCCCTGCCCCTTATCTTCTTCCTGGACCTAGAAAAGCCTTTCAGTCTGGAGTCAGGGCCCATGAAACAGTGAGTCTAGAGCTGCTACTGACTGTTCTTGCATCTTACAAGCTTACTAGGTAAAAGCAGGACACTGATGCAGGTGTAGAGCAGAGCCCCAGGCAGGTCTGTCCCCATAGGGCCTAGGTTGCTGAAGTTGGGTACAACTTTTGTCAGGTGACATCTGCCCACTACCACCACATTACTGACCATGTGTGACAGGCTTTTACAACTACAGCAACACCAAGGGATCTACAGCCTCCAAATGTTCTATGCTGGAGTTCCCAGGCCTGGTCTCATATCCCAACCTAGACCTTCATGCCCCCCTTGACTACTGCCCTCCACTTATCGTGACTGAACCCAGAGAAACAGAACAAGATGATTCAACCTCTGGGTGAGGAAATGCAGAGCTGTGGCCTGTGGTGGATTGCAGAGTGATTTTGGTAAGAGATGCATGCTTTTCCACAAGTGCAGTCCCCTCCAAGCCCAATCCCAGAATCCCTTTCCTTTATAGTCTCTCAAATGTCAACAGGGCAGCAATACAGTCTCATCACCAAATGAATTTCAGGCAAAGAAAAGCTTGAAAGGGGAAATGGGATAATTGAAGAAAATAGACTCAAAACAAAACCTAATCCGAGAGCTTGATCTTGGGGCCTAACCAAGTTTCTCCTACCTCCTCTGCTGATAAACCCAACAAAAAAACAAAAAAAAAAAAAAAAAAAAAAAAAAAAAGGTCCATTCCATTCTCTTTTTCAGGGGCTGCATGCTGCATTATCGGGTGTAGCAGAGCCCAGGCTGAACTAAGCCACATTGAATCAACCAGGTAAACAAGGCCGGATGCTCCAAGGTCACATGGGGCAGCAGATGACGCCTTCATGCCATAGCTTTGCCCAGGGCCTCCCTCTCTCCTGGTGTGTCTACGTGCCTGCACACATGTCCCTGTCTCATCCAAGGCTCCCTCCCCTCTTTCCCAGCCAGAGCCTCTGGGTTATTGTTGACCCACAAGTCATTTGCTGCTATTAATAGTTCAGGTTTGTGAATAATTTACTGTTTCAAATATAAATTATTGGGAATCCAAGATTGTTCCCTGTAACAACACTATGCTGACTCACGGGTGTCGCAATCTTCTTCCTCAAACTCCTTGGAGGGGCAATTGAGCAGCATTCGGGAAAAGTTGTACGGGCCTGGCTGCACCTAGAATAGGGTGCTTACATACATGAGCATCACCCAGGTGGAGGACAGGGTGGAAAAAGTGGCTAAGAACCTCCTTCCAGACAACAGAAAGTTGGGCTGCTAATCTTAGAATTGCTTTAAGTCCAATAATGAATGAAAACATAACACATACCTTCCCAGAAACAGACACAGGGGAAACAGTGGGCCTTCTCTGCTCAATTCTATGAGGAGTGCCTGGACCACCTGGTATTTGCAGCAGTTCCAAATGCTGCAGCAGCAGCAGCCATACTGTGGAGCTGGAGTTACTCAGTCCTCCAGGGTACCAGGTACTCTGTATGAACAGGGCTACCCGAGTCTCTTTTACCATCATATTTGTTGATGGCTCCCATTTTATAGATGGAGAATTTGAGGCTCAGGAGGCAACTTGCACCAGAGTTACTGAGTTACAGACAGGCCATATTTTCTACCTCAGATCCTGCTTCCCTAAAAGAAAGGGTAGCTGAATACAAAACTCCAGTCAAATGGGGTGGGTGGAGAAACTGGGTTTCCTCCTGTTCTTTTTTTCTTCATTTATGGAAACCATACACATCCTCCAAGCTCTCATCTCCATTCCTCTTTCTGTGGACCACTTCTCACATCAGAGCCAAGGCCCTTCCTTTCACTCTGCAAGGCTTTCCATTGCAGCCCTGGGGTCTGTTGTGCATTGCTGCTAGTACTCCGTGACTGTACACAGGATGTCCCCTTCTTCCTGAGGAGTTAAGAACAATCTGCAGGTGTGGCCAGCCATCCCTCGGACATGTATGGCATTTCTTTCCCATTTAGCAGACCACGTCTCAAGTCTTCAGCTCCCCCAAACCACAGAGCAGGATTTGACATAAAGTGGGGGCTTTGTGTGTATGTATGAGACAGAGGAATTTAGGAGAGGAGATATGACCTCTGAGCCCAACCAGCTATGCTGAAACCTCAGTACCTTCACCGTAAAAGCCACTGGACTCCAGCTAAGTCTTTTCATCTCTACAAACTTCTTCCTCTATAGAAGTGGAGAGGGGAGGATAGAAAAGGAGTGGGAAAAAATGTAACTCAATAAAAACAAGTTAATTAAAAAAAAAAATGGAACTCAGGGCGTTGGTTGCACACGCCTTTAATCCCAGCAGTCGGGAGGCAGAGGCAGGTGGAGCTCTGTGAGTTCAAGTCCAGCCTGGTCTACAGAGCAAGTTCCAGGGCAGGCTCCAAAGCCACACAGAGAAACCCTGTCTGAAAAAAAAACAAAACAAAAACAAACAAACAAAACAACAAACCCCCAAAAATAACAACAACAGAAAACCAAAACCAAACAAACAAAAAACAAAAGAAATGGAGGTTGGCTGATGGCTACATTAAATACCTGTCAGCACCTTTCACAGTGTGTTTCCTTATCTTTAGGGATTCAGACCACATCTGTGCAAGATACTCTGGGACTAAGAAAGGAAAGGAATGCATCCAGGACACAGTTGTTACCTCTAAGAAGGTGGAAGGAATTAAACCTTCACAGGCTGTTAAGTCAGCACCCAAAGCCGTGCTAGGAGGAGCCAGGGAACAATCAGTTAACAGTATCAGCTCCAGAGTTCCCAGGGTGACAAAAGTGTTCTCTGCCCAGGTGTTAGGGGAACCTTTAAGCCAACCCTGAGCTTCGTGAGAAGGATTAAAACAACAACAAAAACCCTAGGCCTGAAGTCTGTTTAAGACATAGCTTTTACAGGACAGATATGGACATTGGCCCACCTTCAGGGACAAGAGACAGATCGAGGAGGGCTCTGCCAGACTGGGGGCATGGTACTCCAGCCTCTGGGAACTGGCTGGCACACATTCTAACAAACACTCAGCCCGGGATCTCCAGGCCAGACACCGGACCTGTTCTTGCCATGTATCCTGATTCTTTTCATCCCCACAGGACACAGAAATCCAGAGTCTTATGCAAAGTGTCCATATTTTGAAATGTCTGTGAAAGAAAACTTTAGAAAATGCTCTGTAGACCAAACAGACTATGCTCGAGCCCAGGCTGTACAACATCAGGAATACCATTTACCATTTTTGCTGGTGGAAATGCCCACAGACAGGTGAAATCATTTGAATGCCAAGCTAAGAAAATTGGAATACTGTTTTTCCAGAAAACACAGGACCCCAGGAAGGTGTCAGTCAATTGCCTGCGTGTAGGGGAGTGATAGGAAGTCACTGTGTTCACATTGTTTTTTATATATGTAGATTTTCCCTTGATGGTTTTGTCTAAAAAGCACACTCCTGTCTCATTGTGATAACAATCTTTACTCTGTTTACACATAAAGGCATGAAAGCCAGAGACCAGTCCCCACCTCTCAGCTTAAATCTTTTCGTTTAAACATTAACTGCATGCCTTAGAAACCTCACAAGTAAGTCCAACAATGGAACATCTTAAACTGAATAATAGTTAAGGTCCCTACAAAGTCTAACATCTAAAGAGCCTAAGATTAAAATTAGCCCCTTTCTCTTCCTCCCTTCCTTTCTCTCTCTTTCCCTCTCTCTCTCCTTCCTTCCTTCCTCCCTTCCTTCCTTTCTTTCTTTCCCCCTTTTCCTTGAGACAAGGTCTCTCTATGAAGTCCAAACTGGCCAGGAACCTACTCTGTAGTCCTGGCTGGCCTCAAACTCACAGAGGTCTGCTTGCCTCTGTCTCCTGAGTACTGGGATTAAAAGTGTGTACCACCATGCCCAGCTCATAAAAGAAATGATATCTTTTAAAGATGCATGTTTTATTTTATGTGTATGGGTGTTTTGTCTGCATGCATGTCTGTGCACCACATGTGTGCTTGGTACCCATGGAGAACAAAAGAGGTTGTTAGATTCCCCTAGAAGAGATGGCACAGATGGTTGGGAGACAGCTGTGGATGCTGGAAATCAAACCTGGGTCCCCTGGGACTGGGACTGCAGCTAATGTTCTTACACACTGAAGTATCTCTCCAGTTCCCAAATAATATCTTTTAAAACTATCAGTTCTGCAGTCTGTAAAAACCTTTGTCTTACGTTCATTTGCTTCTTTTTTTTATTTTTTTGAGGCAAGGTCTCATGTAGCCCAGGATACCTTCAACTTCTGACCCCCCCCCCCACTTCCTCCACCTCTCAAAAGTTGGCATCACAGGTATGTGTCACTGTGCCTGTGCCTGGATGGTCATTTCCCAGTAACCCCATTCAGACCCTCATTTTATGGAAAAAAAAGTCTGAGGCTAGGGTAGACTAACTGGCCACATGAGTGGCAGCAATGGATGGGCCAGAGGTCTGTTCTGGATTTTGTGCCCAGCATTCTTCTGTGCACTGGAACCTCAGAGAAAAGACCTGGCTGTGTAAACTTCCTCAACATGCTGTGCTCCTGAGAACCATCTTACAATCTCCCGAAGCAGGGGAATCCTTCTAGGCCAATGTTAGTGGGGTAAAGGGAAGAGGGCGTGCCCAGGAAAGGTGGGCCTGGCTCACCTTACTCAGCAAGCAATCTTGTAAGTCTCCCTCTGGAAGAGACCTCATGGCTTCTTGGTCAATCCCCAGGATAGCAGCAACCTTCTGTTTCTTTTCACGATGGAGGACAAAGCTGGTGGGTAGCTTTCCCAGCAGTGTTACTCTCTGGATGAAACTTCTCTGGAATTGTGAGCAGGGACCAGAGACTTGGCCTCTTCTCACCTGCTCACTGCAGTTTTCCTTTCCAACTTGAGAGAATCCGTCTGCCATCTTTCAGGGAAATACAGAAAGATTCAAAAGGAGACTTGATGGAAATGCATTGCAGCCCACCTGATGTTACCTGATGTTGGTTTATCCTGTCTTTTTTATTCTCTTGTCCTGACTCCAGGTGCACCTTGGTGCCTCGTATCTTTACATCTCTTTGTCCTTATTCTGTTGACAGTAAATATCCCTAGCCCTTCCATCCAGAAAATTCTACAATTCATTTACTTCCTTACCAGTAAACAAGAAATTGCAAACAAGCCCCTTGGTTTCTCACCATCATGCCCAGCACAAGCCTTATCAGTCAGATGAGGGCCAGAATCAGCCTTTGGAAAGGCATGAGCTCACAATATACTCGTGAATTCAGAGGCAAGCTTAAACACACACACACACACACACACACACACACACACAGAGAGAGAGAGAGAGAGAGAGAGAGAGAGAGAGAGAGAGAGAAGCGGACACAGAGACAGGCTGACACACAGAGACAGAGAGACACAGGCACACACACATACACACACACACACACACAGAGAGAGAGAGAGAGAGAGAGAGAGAGAGAGAGAGAGACTTACAAACAGGCACATACATGCAGAGAGAAGTAGGGCAGAGTCCTGCCTCTTGCCTGCTGACCTTAGAATGTGATTTCCTTGTCCCACTTGATGGCCGACAATCAAAATAAAATCAGTATAAACAGGCCCCTTAAGAGTCTAGGACACATCTAATTTTACCAGTAAAACTCATCCTAGACAGCAGCTCAGAGAGAAAGTTCCCAGTCTGACTGGCTGGGGATAGTTTTAGTAGAGGGGAAAAACAAAACAAAACAAAACAAAAAAAAAAAAAAAAAAAAAAAAAAAAACAGCAGCCTGAGAAAGCTGGTTAAGTATCCCGGTCTCCTCTCTGTGATCCGAAGGACTGACAGCCCAGCTCACATCTGAGCAAGGCTCCAGGCAGACAGCTCCCCAAACCAACCTCTTCAATGCAGCTAGCAGCCAATCCAGCCTTTCCACTCTCTCTGGTGGCCCCGAATTTGCATATCCTCCCAGACAGCTCCAGGTGAGCCACATCAGACCCCACCCACCTCCTTCTCCTAGGTGTTCAGCTGTCTTGTCTAGGCTCCATCTGCCAATCCAGGACTTTTATACCAGTCCTGAACAACTAGAGCTTCCTCGAGGAACCTCAGAATCCCCTCCAAACTTCCTTGATTTTTCCACCCGCTGTACTGTGTTATGGAAATCCCCTTCTTTTTAGAGCACCTGCTCTCAGATGGTCCAGAATCTTCTTCCCCTTGGCTTCTGTTCCCCTGCTCAACACTCCAATTGACCACATGAGTTTTTCACAAATGAAACAAAAGCCTCTTCCCCATGAACTGCCTTTTGGAATTCTCTCTCCACGTCACTCTGAGAGGCACTGAAGTCCACATTTCGCCCACATACTTTTGGTTTTGCCCTTGGCTTCTGCTTTTGCTGGAATTGTTACCTCACAGCCTTTCCTGATAACATCAAAGCTGCCCTGGGTTTCTGGAATCAAACACTCAAACAGCATCATTGTCACTCTGATGCCCACCCATCTCAGTTACTTCGGTACTGCAGATTAAAATGTTGTATCCGGAAACTTCTCTTGCTCCAAGTTGGGAAGATTTTTGCCAGGTCTGAAGAGGGAAACCAGATAATTGCACTTCTCCGGGAGGAACAGCACCGTGAGCCCAGAACAGCTGCCTGCAGTCACGGTCCCACTAGAAGTACATCAGAAAATCGGTGTGGTATGTGAACACAGCATAGACCTGCTGCATGGCTCAGCTCTGTGGGTACGGTTCCACAGCACAGCACAGCACAGGGCTGAGCACAGACACAGGTCCTATCAGAAAAGCAGAGGGAAACAAGCTTGCCTGCCAGATATAGATCTCTAGTGCATTTGACAATAGGTTAGCAATATTGTGGCTAGGGCCACCAAGTGGGACCCAGTTAATACAAGTTTCCTTGGGGGAAAACATCTTCATTTTTCATGATTCATAAGCAAGGCAATTGAAAATGGAAGCCAGTGCTAACTCAGTTTAGACTGTGAGGACAGGAGAGTTGAGATGTCTCAGCGGATATGTCTGCCACCAAACCCGAAGACCTGAGTTCTAACTCTCCCTACCTCCCAGGACCCACATGGTAAAGGAGAGAGCCATCTGCCTCATGCACCCCTCCACACACACACACAAATAATAGATAAATAAATGTAGTAGATCATGAGGACCAATAACATATTTAATGTCTGTTTAACAAAGTAGTCAACATAGTTTGTGTATTCATACTTTTGGATTGGGGTCCAGTAGTGTGGTGTGCACACAGAGGTCAGAGGGCAAGCTCAGTGTCTGTTCTCAGGTGTCTTCTACCTTTTCCTTGAGACACAGTCTTTTGTTGTCTAGGAAACTTGCCCTATAGGTCAGGAGCTTGCCACAAACTTCCAGGCCTTTCACCATTGCTGAATCACAGGAATGTGCCATTGCAGACAGTTTTTTGTGTTTTTTTTTTTTTTTTTTTTTCACATGAGCTCTGGGGGGGCTGAACTTATGTCCTCATGCTTTCAAGTCAAGAAACTTACTGAGTGAGCCAGCTCAAGGCTTTCAAAAACCTTAAATCAAAACTAATATTCAGTGAGGCATCCTGGGAAGACAATGCCTATCCAGGCTCATGCTGTGTTTTTAATGGTTTATCAAGTAGCTGACTATTTCATGGCAAGAAGGGGAAAGATTAGCCTGACTCAAATCAATCTTACAGGTGCAGATTTGCTCAAGAATGTCAGGGTCACAAACTCTAACTTACTCCTTTATGGATTCAATTTAATCCAGGAAGAGTCAAATCCAGCAGCTCAGGAGAGTAGAAGATGGACAGAACCCACAACAGTGACCTCAGGAGAGTGGACATGAATGAAGCACACAACAGTGACCTCAGGAGAGTGGACATGAATGAAGCCCACAATAGTGACCTCAGGAGAGTGGACATGAATGAAGCCCACAACAGTGACCTCAGGAGAGTGGACATGAATGAAGCCCACAACAGTGAATCTGTAACAGATGTCAAGCCTGCTCTTCAGGTCCAGCAAAGCCTCTATTGTACACAAGGTTCATCAGTAAAGATTATTACATATTTATTTGACCTCCTTAAAATTAATGGCATTGTATCACAAAAACTATACAGAATAAATGGTAAGCAAGGCACGGTAATTCATACCTCATAGCTTAGCACTAGGGAGGCCAAGGCAGGAGGATTGCTTTGAGCTCAAGGCCAGCTTAGGCTGAATGTGAGACCCTTTCCCAACTCCTGCTTCCCTCACCCCCAATACCATACAAACAAACACACAAAAAATGATCCTAGTTGGGGCAGGAGGAAGGGGAAACCTGTGTTTCTATGGATATCCATGCATCCCGTCTATCTATAATTACTAAAATACTGTAATGTACAACACATTTACTTTATGTATTTTAAATTTAATTACATATGTGATCCTGTGATCACTTCAATTATCATTCTTTTTATGAAAAGCCTGACATAAAGGAACTTAGTATTGGATGTGGTACAAGATAGGATCTTAGTGAATATTTATCTTCATGATTCACTTTATTCACTGAAGACAAAGGGTCCTCTTGTAAGGTATGTGGGCATCCTCTCTTCCCTCTGTTGGGTCAGATCATGAGGGTCATTCACCACCGTTTCCAAGATCTGTCTCCGTTCCTCTTGTACGGAGGTCATTTGACCTTTTGTCTAGGTTCAGAGGCAAGGGTTCCCAGGCTCACACATGTATGTGGTCAAGGCTGAATCTAAAATAAACCTGGGCAGTGTAGAAATGGAATAAGGTGAGACTGGTGTGATTTCAGGAGAGATGGCTCAGTCAGTAAGGTACTTGTCCAAGGATGAGGACCTGAGTTTGATTCCCTGAACCCATGTAAAATGCCAGGTGTAGTGTCTCATGCTAGTACTGGGGAGATGGAGAAAGGAGGATCCCTGGGGCTTGCTGGCAAGCCAGTCTAGCCTACTCAGAGAGCTCCAGGCCTCAGGCTGTTCTCTGACCTCCACACTCACATGAACACACACACACACGTAATTTACAAAGATGAAATGCTTAAAAGGAGAGAAGTATGAGAAATGATTCAGTGTGGCCTGGGGCAGGGATATTTCACAAGCCTGTGCCCGTGGGTTTGTGTGTCTGTCTAAGAGCACAAGATCACTATCACACTTTTCTGGATCGTCCTTCTTCAGTGAACTAAGCCCAGAAACCAGTCTGGGGACTCAGTGTTTTAACAGAGAACAGTCATCAGGGCTGTGAAGCTCTTGTTATGGCTTGGATAACACTTTATTTTCATATCAAATCTCTCTGCCTATTTCAAAAAGAAAAAAAAAAAAAAAGAAAGAAAGAAAAAAAGAAAAGAAAAAAAGAGAAAGAAAAAGAGCATTGTATCTCCACTAAAAACTCTTCCTGTGCCCAGCCAGGATGCCACCCCAGTCATGTGAGGCTGAGCTATTTTTAAGTTGCTATCACCAGAGAAAGTGAGAGGACGAGGGAACCATTTCAGGAAGTAGATGGCTTTTCACTCAATTTTTTTTTTTTTTTATATATATACTGTCTGGTAACTGCTGAACTGCTCACCTCAGTTTCTGGGATGTCTGAGTCAAAAGGAAATACCTGGTTGGTGGAATCCACAGTTTTAGCTCTTGGACATTCAAAGGAAAGGCCCCGTCAACCGCTGTATCCATTGTTCACCAACCATGACGAATCTGTCTGACTGCTTACTCAAAGGAGACCAACACGAGGGTGTACATGGAGATAAACATTTCCCACCACAGGTTTATGCAAATATGGTCACTTGATCTTTGGCAAAGAATATGCAAAACCCAGTGAAGAAAAGATATGCAACAGGTGGTATGAGCAATGGACCCACCATAGGAAAGGAAGGCAGACTTCTTTAAAAGACCAATTGGACATGGCTCATAGATCTCACTGAAAAGCATAAAACCTAAAGCTTATAGAAGGAAAGGCGGGGTAAGCCTTGTGACTTCGGGTTAAACAAAGAGTTCTTAGAAGTGACCGTCCAATAGCCCTGTTATAATTCATTGTAAAAGGGACATGACGTCCAACAGGTGTGCATACACAGGAAAGAAGTCTCTGGGGGAAACCAAGTGTAACAGTACCCTGACCTTGGCCTTCTACCCTCTGGGAGTGTGAGAATTACTTCTGTTGTTTAGCCAACCCAGCCTATGGTGTTCTATGACTACCCAAGAAGAGGGGTGCCCCTCTGTGGAAGTATTCACGTGTTTGCCAGAGCTAAGCAAAAGCATCTTAGTGGTCCCACCCTTTCCTTCATCGCTGCCACCAACCAACCCATCACCAGTCGCCCCATTCACAAACCTCAACCTTTCAGTCATCATCTTTGGAGACTTTGTGTCTTACTCTGTTCCCTTAACCCTAGGTAAGACCTCTATCACTGAGCTGTAACTCCATCCCACAAGGAGTTTCTGCTTCTTTCCTCATCCCCACAAGCATCTGAGGGGAACTTTATATTCCCTCTTTGGCAAGTGGCTGTTACCCCTCCCCCAGAAGACTCCTTCCCATTATCTCTCTTCAGAAGACTTAGTAAGTACTCTGCAAATAAGACTTTTGAGACTCACCGTGCTCAGAGTTCCTGATATAGACATCAGCCATAGCACAGGAAGGGCGATTGCATCACCTAGGACTGATATATTGAAGTTCATGTATTAGCAGCATGGTCTCCAGTGTGCTGGTGGTGCTAAGGGGAAGTGTGGGACCCCCAGAGAGGTAGACACTACTGGAAGGTCATTCAG